TGAAAGATGTGACATCATCACTGCTGACTCTACAAAAATTAAACAGCTTATGAGAAAATGTCATGAATAATTTTAATACCATATACCTCTCCATATTTTTCACGTGTGTGTGTGTGTATGAATTTCGTGTGGACAGTGAGAAGAGTAGTGATGTGGGGAGACAAAAAATTCTGATAAGAATTTGGTAAGAACATGAGGACGGAAATGAACTTGATGGAATAAACTGGCTTTGAATTAACCGGGCAAATGTACACTTCAAGTCTGTCCTGGCATTTAAGGATTAAACCGGAACCCACTGACTCTCCAGGGGTCCTGGACCTCCTCAAACACTGACAGAACCCACCATGCTACGTTATGACTGCGCCACATAGAAAAGACAAACACGTCCACGAAATCAACGTGGACATCTCCCTAACGCGGGCTTCTCTAACATCGAACCCCACATTAAATCGCGAACAGGAATCAGTCCCCGCGTTCACCCATACAAATTTTTCACCCCAGTTCTCAACTGAGTCCCACAAACCCAGCGATTCACACGGACCTCAAACGACAGAAAGTCGGACTTCCAACGATTTCTTCAGACTCTTCATTACTGACAGCCAAAGGCCCCATCACTACCGCCCAGCTTCCTCAGTGACTGCATTCAAATGAAACGCCAACTACGACCCTTCACACACGTCCAGGCTTCACGGACCCCACAGGCTGTGAATCTACGCCCAGAACGCGACTCACCCGATCCTGAGCCTATCCAGACACCACTGGCAGCGAAAATATGCCGAACGCACGTCCCAAACCACTTCCTACTCGGACGCCCTCCTTCGCGGTCCAAGGGGACACCGAGGGGCGGCGCCGACGGAGGCCCGCGGGGACCACACAGCCTGGCGGGAGTTCCCTCTGTGAGGTCACATGGCCCCGCCCACCTCGCCGTTTGTGACGGGAGCGGCCATAATGCCTGTGGGAACAAATTGAAAGCACTCCTGGCCACATCAGTGCCTCTCCCTCCTCGTTGGAAGGGACGCTAAACAGCGCTGTGCTAAGTGCGCTAAGTTTTCAGAGGCTCGTGCCCATTCAATGCCAGCACAGTGCGGAACCATTCTAGTCAGCCGGCGGGGGAAGAAAGATGGCGGCGCCCTTTGTGCCCATCATACCTCAGACTGGAGCTTTAGCGGGACCACCACGGGCGCGGCCATCTTAGCGGAAGCCAGGCGGCCGTACGGCAGAGAAGACACTCAGACCCCTGACAACTTTGGATAAGGTGTGTTGGAGACGTTGCTGGGGAGGAACCTGTCAGTTGACAAAAGCAGCAGTCATCGAAAATCTTAGGTTTGGGCATGGGGCGGAGGTGTGTGGATTGGGTGAGGCTTTGTAGGTTAGAATATCAGACTCTGAAGGGGCGAAGCCAGAAGTAGGAGCGATGCCACACTAAATGCTAACACACACGTGGGACTTGCTACACAGCTACCTCCGGTGGGGAAAAGGGATGAGGTGAAGGTCAAATGTATGTACGTTTCCTAACAAAAATAAACGACGACAGTGGGGCATTTGAGAATATGAAATTATGAGAATCCAATTTCATATTTTGAATAGTTTCCAAATTTAAAAAAAAG